TAAAGCATCATTTGGTCAACCCAGCAACTTCTTTAACAAAAGCCGCATCGTGTGTCTTTCTGTTCCCCACTTCTTCAAACCTCTCTGATGTTCCCTACACTTATCAAATGATAATAGTACATGGTCAAGAGTTTGTATATGTTTTGTGTCCTATATTTGTTGTCCTATATATATTTCATGAAAACAATAAATTTTTTAAGTTGTAATTTTTTTTCTCATCCATTTGCAAATATAAACGTAAAATCTTTTTTTTAAACGAAGGACTTATATAATTGTCTCTTGCTTTTCATTATACATCTTGAATCTCATCATGATGACTCCTAATTTTGTCGAATAGATAAAAGTAATCGAAGAATCTAACAAATTATTCCTCAAAAAGTAAGGACAATACTCTGGTCTTCTCCTCTTCAACCCTTGATGTTTGTCTACAACAATAACATAGAAACTACAATGTAAGCGCAAATAAGCCATTTTTTGTGAGAATCTAAATTCACTCTTGAGGATCACAATGTTTTCTTCATTTCCAATATCTCCAGTCAACACTAATTAGCCAATGTATAGAAATTTGAAACTGCAACTCTTTAGTACTAACATTCTGATTAGTATTTGTGAAGTCTTCTTCTTTAAACTTTCCTAGCCGAATATAATACCATAAGGAAGTTTTGATTATGAACAACGGAAATGGTGTAATCCAAATACCGAGCAAAATTTGACAAAATTTTGGTGGAGGTTGGAGACCCAGCCCGACACATACTCAACATGTTATCCATAAACGGATAGAAGTTGATTCATATTCTTATTCTGTGAAGCTGCAGTAATTTGTGGATCTAAAAAAACTTCTTTTGCTCCCAAAATCAAAGTCCGAAGCCGTAGTAAGCTTCAAGTCTTCTTTTCGTCACCTTTTCATAGCTAGAGATGCACCACCTGAAGAGAGGAAAGATGCATTATATTACGAAATCAGGCTCGGAGTGGGTTGAAGAAAAATTCGATTCTATTAAAATTCACTTTTTTCCTGAATATCATGATCTAAGAGTTGCATATCTTATTGACAAGAATGCGAAAAAGATAGAAGATTAATATTAAAAGAGAAAATTGCATGTTTAATAGTTTGCACTTTAAACCTCGACACTCAGCCACTAACACTTCAAACTCATTTCCTTAACAGTTTAAACACCGAAACTTGCCAGTCGTCGTCGTGCCATCACAAAACTTAATTGTACAGTGGACACAATTAACGGAATCTGTCAAGGACATTTACTTAAAAAACATGCTTAATTCAGCCTTTAAACACGTTTTCGATCAAAATTGTTTCTTTACTAAAATCCCAAATTGAATTGGGGATCTAGGGTTCTTATAAGAGAGAGAGGGAGAGAGAGAGAGAGAGAGAGAGAGAGAGAGAGAGAGAGAGAGAGAGAGAGAGAGAGAGAGAGAGAGAATCTGAGACCAAAGGGATTTCAGAGAAAGAAAGAAGAAGATTCGAGAGGGTCTTTAGATGCTTGAAGAGAAATGATGTAAACGTGTGAAATCTTAAAATTTTCGGGGTTTTCATACAAATTTCTTGACTATTTACGTTTTCTAGGTTGTATGTGTGAGAAAAGAGAAAGGTGAGATCGAGGTCTTCCTTGAATATGATATTTCAGATGAAATAAAGCCTCCTGTCTACATGGTTACACCAAATTGTCACTGTGTAGAGATTCAACAAGGTGAAGGTGATGTCTCGGGCAGTGAAGAAGAAGTGGAGAGACCATTGAAAGATGAAGAACCCAAACGTTCTGAAGATGAGAATGTATTTGAAGAAGAAAATGAGCATGGCGGCGAAAATGAAAATGAACAAGTAGCAGATGAAAATGCTGACATCGGAGATGATGTTGTTGAAGACGCAGGAGATGGTGAAAAGATCATAGATTTAAGTCACTTTTTTAGGAAGGTTTAATGGCGAGAGCAACTACAGAAGCATATAAGAATTCAGAAGAAAAAGAAGAACCAGAAAAGGAAGCAGAGGAAAGTGATGAATAAGTTGTATTAGAAGAGGATGGTAGGTATCCAGATACACCACTTGGATCTGAAGAAGAATGAGAGGAATGGGATAAGCCAAAACAAAAAGATAGACAAAAAAAAGAAAAACCTAACTTTCATGGAGCTTTGGATAGGGAACCTTATACTTGGCTGTTCCAGAAGTTTAACTCGGGGCAAGATTTCAAAGACCAGTTATTGAGATGCTCACTAAAGACTCAGTTTGACGTGAAGATGGCCAGGTCTGATGCAAATAGAATAGCAATTGTGTGTTGTGGAGAAGAGTGTAAATTTAGGTTCTATTGTTAATTTGAACCGCCTATCAATAAATGGAAAGGTCTGCTAGATGCGTCACAGCCATGTAAAATCAAGCAGAGGGTCGATGTTGAAGCAAGGCGTGATTGCAAACTTGTTAAGAGAAGAGATAAGAAGCAACATTAGCTTACAAGAAACTGTGATCAAAGACACAAGTAAAAAGCGATACCACATTGTAGTACCGATCACAAAGTGTTATAGAGGAATGTGCATTGCTACAGTATCTTGGAAGCTCAAGCAATTCAATTTGGTAAGTTTTGGGACTACAGAGCAGAGATTAGACAAACACATAGTGGTATCAGCAGTCATCTATGTACTGTTGAGAAAAATGGTAGGGATATGTTTGATTGTTTCTTCATCTGCTTTGAGGAGTTCCGTAAAACAAGGAAGACTTATTGTAGACCAATTATTGGCTTGGATGGTTGTTTTCTGAAATGGGAGTTGACAGGCGATTTACTTGCTGCAGTTGGTAGATAAGCAGATAATATGATGTACCTGATTGCATGGGCAGTGGTTAGAGGTGAGAATAAAGACACTTGGAGATGGTTTGTAAAGAAGCTGAAGGTAGATCTTGACATAGGAAATTGAGACAACTTGACAATAATTTCTGATAAACAAAAGGTAATATTTTAGACTTTCTCTTGTAATATTTTTAATAACAAAATTGTTCTAGTTCGTATATGCTTATGGTCTTTTCTCCACAGGGTCTTGTGATTGCTATAGAGAACAAGCTTCGAAATGCCGAGCATTGTATGTGAGCAAGGCATATTTAGGCAAATTGGAAGAACAGAAGATCCTCAAGGTCAGAAAACAAGAAATCTGTTATGGAGAATTGCATATAGTTACACTGTATGAGAGGAGTATCAAGAAAAAAATGATGTTTCTTAATGCAAATGATCATGCGGCGTATGGTGCTCCGCTTGATACAGAACTTGAAAGATGGTGTCGTGCTTTCTTCAATGAGGAGTCCCATTGTGCAGACATTCATCATAACTTGTCCCAGAGTTTTAATTGGACAATCAATAATGGCAAGATCAAAGCCTGTAATTAATTTTTTTTTAAGGATGTCAGAAGACAAGCGATGACAAGGATTTAAGAAGGTTGTCGAAATCAGAGAAGTGTGACACTGTCGTAACAACAATCACAATGGCGATATTGGAGAAAGCACGGGTTGGAAAACAGTTTTGCTCGACTTTACGTAGCAGCAAAAATGTGTATGAAGTTAATGATTTTGAGTGTGGGTATTCAGTGAATATATCAGTTCACCAATGCGCCTGTCGAAAATGGGATCTCACTGGGATACTCTGCAAGCATGTTGTCTGCGTTCGGATGATAACAACGATGACCCTATTAGGTATGTGGCTCCGTACTATTACACATATGGCTTTGAAAAAGACTTACGAGGAGAACATAAAACCTGTAGATGAAGACAAGTTTTGGAAAAAGACTTATAAGCCGCCAATAGGCATACCTAAATTTTGTAAGCCTAGAAGTCGTCCAAGGACTAGAGATAGAAAAAAGGAACCACTTGAAGATCTGCAAAATGCTAGAAAGGAAACTAGGCATGGAAGAATTCTCCATTATAGTCGATGTAAGGAAGCAGGACATACTTCCACTGGGTGTAAGAATGAACTGGTGGTTGTGGAAGGGCAAAAAACCACTGTGGTCGTCCTCGTAAGAATGAGGTACTTGTGTTTCATATTTTGTACTAATTTTCTGTTTCATTCTCAACATACCATTGTGTTTCAGATTCTTCCTAAGCTACCACCCAAACCAAGAGGAAGGAGGAAGACTCCAGCCACTACAAGAAGCTCTCAACCTGTTGAGTCCAATGCAGCTGGTCCACCTGATGTAAGTTCTAGTGCTCCGCAGCCATATGTTTCACCAAATCGCCTCAAACCACACGTGAAGAATACCCCTAAAGGATGACCAAGATAAGAAAAATGGGTAACATACCACATGGTGTTGGGAGATTATGGAGTCATTCACTGATCAACCATTTGAATTACTTGGAGACTGAGTTTACGATAGGTCTGATCTTAACTCATCAATTTCAGAAGACCCAAACATAGCGCAAACCAGACAGGCTCCTTCAAAATGCTAAAGATGCTCGTCTTTGCTTTACCTTTCCATGGTTATATTTTGTTTTAACTAGCTTTGGTTAAGGACAACATTATCGGCTTCTGTATCTTGTCCCTACATTATCAGCTTTTCTATCTTCTGACTACATTATCAGCAACTCTCATTTTCAATTCAGAGTCTTCTATGTTTCTTTTGAAAGCATTATATTGACATATAACAATAGAAAAGTGAAATATCAAACACAACATAACATAAGATAGAGTCTTATAACCACACACAGATAATATTATACAACCACACAACATAGATAGAGTCTTAAAACCAAAAGCCTAGATAGAGTCTTACATCTGAAAGCATACAAACAACATCCTACAAATCTAGCAATATCAATACTTTGACATCACCATCATTCCTCCAATTACCATAGCAAAACCAATGGACGAAGCCACAAGTACATTGCACAAAACTGAACTCCTCTCTGTTAGAACCAACACATCTATCTTCAAAGCTTCACATCTTTTTTTTTTCATACTCTCCATTAATTCACTCAAAATTTCCAAATTCTCAGAGACATAATTTAGAGATCTTACCTTCTCCCTCAAATTTTCAATCTCCTCTTTTTGTTCTCGGATTGTTTCCCGAGCTTCCAAGAGCGCAAGATGCTTCCATCCATGAGGTTTCTTGACATCATACCAATGGAAAGAGTTGCAGGACTCAAACCACTCCCAACGCGGCGTCCTCTGCAGGTC